TGTACCATGCATGTGTACAGGTGTACCATGATAAACAATTTACTAATATTTTATCTGGCAAAACAATCTGAACGTTTACAGCCAACACTGTACAACCTTGTATAGTAGTAAAACAGTTGCAAAACAAAATAATCCTGATATACAGAAATCCAGATAAATACTTGCAAATTAACTAATTAATAGCAAGTAACAAGAGTTACAAATGTTTATTCAATTTAATAAATCACGCAGATCAACAGCAGTAATACACATTACTTTACTGAAAAAAAAAATGATAAAAAAGTATGATAAGATGATCATACTTTTTGGCGAAACCAATTTGAAACTCTCCTTCGGAATAATTTGGAGCACAACTGTATATGAAAAACATGTGTTCCAAGGTTTGTTCAATCCTGTAAAACAGCATGCATCAATGCGCATCACAGATTGAGGACTTGTCACAGATAACACCCACTTTGGGCAGCAGATGCCCTTAGACAGTGTCTATCAAAATTCTTTTCAAAAACTAGTTCCTGACTACTTTTTGAAAACTCAATCCTGAATTACTATTGTATTTTGGAATGTATTTAAAATTGTTATACAAAAATTATAAAAAATTATACATTAAGCCATGTTGATACCTACAGTGGTAATCACATGATGGCATGTCACAGCAACATGCAACTCGTCTTTAGGACTTTATTGGCTTTTGTGGGGTCATTGCATCATCCATCGCACACGGCTGTATCTGAATGTAGACATACAACAGCTGTATGTGATGGGAGTTTATTCAACAAGTCGTAATGATCCCACTCTGTGTGAAACTCCTATATTACTGGAATGAATAACTAAACATAATTTACAATTCAAGCTTGCGTTCACAAGAACCACAATAATGATAAACTAAAGATACACCATTAATTAAATATAGTTTCAGACAAGGAATTGTAAAATTAAAATCATTATAGATGCACCCAATATAACTAGATTTCTAATCTATCAGAGGATACAAGTATTAAAATCAGCAAATACAGACTTGAAAATATTAATTATAGAAGTAGCATTCAAATTAAAGAGTAGTTTTATGCTACCACACTATTCCTTGTATAAAAGCACAAAAATTGTTCATAATTATGTCTATACTAAGTACTAGACAGTTTTTGGCAAAAGTTTTTGAGATTGTCTACTCCACATCTGGAAGGTCTTCATCTTCTGCAGAACTAGTGTCATCCTTTTCGTTTTCGTCGCCAAAATCACCCATCTTGCTGGAGAACATGTCACTCATGTCTTCAAACTCATCGATCCCTTCAAACCTGTCACCTTCATCATCTTCATCCTGCCAGCGGTTAAAGTCAACTTTCAGCCAATGATGTTTCTTCTTGTCGCTAGTAAGCGTCGGCCAGAACCCTTCGCCAGTTTTTACCTTAGCTAGCACCACCTCTATATACCTACCTTTATTAACCTGTGTACTTTTCACGGGATCTATTTCGGCATATAGAGGTATATGCACTTCGTGTAACTTTTTATCCGGCGCACAAACTCCCTTGAATGTGACCGAATTACTTTCAATTTTTATATCCGGCTTTTCACATTCTACGTTAAATGTGAGAAAAACACGAGCACTTCTCTGTGCCCATGACACTGAAGGTGGTATGGCTACAATATCAGAGCTCATCTTGAGGTATCTGAAATTAAATTACAAAATTTTAGTAATTATGCATTTCGAACACAATTTGAAAAGTTTTTTGTACAAGAAACTTACAAAATTCACTGATTTTTTTTGCAGCACCGAATGACAATTTCGAAATCAAGCTTTTTTTACTGTTTAAAAAAGACTGTCCTTTCGTTTTCACCGTATCGCTCGCCTCGCTATCGTACTCGCTATAGTTTTTTGACGATTTGAGTCAATTTGACATTTTTGTTTTTAAGTTTATATTTTTTTAGTCATAGACAAATGAACGAATGAAACCTAGCCGATGAATGAGTAGCGTTTCTGTAAATTTTACACACGAATCCTAATTCGCTTGTCCAAATGCGGTTATGCATAATTGCGCATTACTAACTAAGAGTGCAGTAACTAAGTCAAACCTGTTTTCAAGAAAAACGTGGTTAAAGAAAATATTTTAAAATTTACTTTAGCTTCAAAACTACGCAAGTTACACCGACATGGCATATATCAATAGACAGGTAAAAGAAAGAAAAATTGTAAGGTGACATATTTATATGACATATTGACATATATATATATATGTTAAGGCTATGTTTGATAATATTTCAAAAGTATACTTATGTTTAGTGACTGCTCTAGTAACACAATTGATCCTCCTAACCATAACGGCAGTAAGTATCTTAGATACTGCACTTATTATTAGATAAATATCGTACTGCTAATTAATCTAGAAACTACATATTCAAAAACAAATTAATAATATGTATATATATGTATATATATATATATATATATATATATATATATAAAAAAAATACACTTCATATTGATGCTATTTTCTAATGTTTTATACAGTCGAAACTCACAATTTGTTAGTATTTTCTTACTAAACATCGACGTAAAGTGGCAGCATGCTGCATTGCTTGAGGTTTTTGAGAGTATCGGTGGCCTAATTCCCTCCCTTCACTTTTTTCTTTCCTCTTTTCTCGCTTCCTTCCCTTCTGTAGTGTTAGCACCGACTGAGTAATACCACTGGTATTACAAGCGTACATTATAGGCTACGGTAAGAGTTCGAGTCCCACTTTTTATTATATACACAACTGCTTATTCAAGGAATAAATGATTTCTATTTCTATTTCCCAAGTTGGACAAAGTGTTAATTGGATTGGGAATATAAAGAGATATTATAGAATTGATATAATTTTGTACATTTATAAAATTAGAATAAAACAAAGAAAATCCCTGTATTATTTACTTGTTCAAATCCCAGATATATGAACCCTTAATCACATTTCGATTGACAATAAACAATATTAAAAAAATCAAACCTTGGCTTTTACTGAAGTTAGTTAAAGTTCAGTCTCCTTATTACAATTACTTAGTCGAGGAACTATAATTTGAGATCACGTTTCTTTATGAAAGAACTATATTATTATTATTATTATTAATGCTATGACAAATGCTATAACATTCAGTCTTCTCTGATTAATTATTTTACTTGAGATTAACTTTATATTACACATTACGCACTGGAAGCGTAATACGACGATGACTCACAGATACATTTATCGATTTGACATGTAATAAAAAACAGTTTGCAGTCATTATACTGTATTTAAAACACATATTGTTATTATATTAATGGGATTTGTCATCATAAGACCCATCGTCATCTTCATTATACATAAGTTGATTTTGCGTCTGATGCTTCCGGCAGCAGAAATTCCTAAGTGTCCCTGGAGAAAAATTTACTTCTGTGGCATTTGCATTGTACTGCTCAAAACAGGATCAGAATTTAACAAAAGTCTGGGTAATGCGGGACATTTTTAATTAAAAAATTATCAAGAATAACTAAGTTTTAAAGTTACACACAAAATCATAAGTTAACTAAGCTTAACTGATAAACAGAACCGTGTGTAAATATAGTGATTACAAAAAAAACGTTATTTTTTATTGTGGAATGTATACGGTAAGAAGTATCACTTTATCAAGTGCAATCCGGCAAATATAATTTTAAATTAAAGTATTACGTACCTTTCTCTACAATATGTAAAATATAAACAAAATAAGTGCAACAACTATTAGATAGTGCGTTTATTGCTAGAATTCCAACGCCATTGACTCAAATTTGACCCAAAAATATAGTAAATGTTACTGCACTTTGAATTAGCAAATGTTATGTATTGTACTAAGTTACTGCAGTTTCACTTCCTGTATTACAGGGTTCCCATGAAAATTTTGATACGTGAGTTAGAGCCAAATATAGATCTTGTTTTGGTGTTAACGATTATATATTTAACTCAATTTAGCATCAAACGTCAAAAATGCTAGTTACTGTACTTTCCATTAGGACGGCAGATTTACACCAAGTCGTCAGGTGACTTTCGCTTGTCCGTCGAAGGCGGCAAGCAAACCGCTGTAAATAGTAAGTCATCAGACGACGGTACTTAGCAGCCGAAGTCGGCCGAAGCGATGAGTGAATCGCCTTCGGCAAGGCGAAATAGTCTACCGAATGCGGAACACTATTACTGCCGAAGGTAGACGACCCGGTTTATATGCGCCATTAGTTCTGGTGGTGGTTTTCCACCGGCGCGGCGAGACGAGACGAGAATTGAAATCTAGCCGGCCTATTTCCACTAAAAATTGCCATTAACAGCCGTCACAAGCTGACGTTTTTAGTCTTCGCGAGCTCGCGCAAGATCGTGTGGGCACTCACAAACTCGTGGAGAAATCGTGATTCCATTGCAGAGTATAATACTCAATGTAGGCCTAGAATACGGTTCAATAGTACATTACAAATATTTCAATTCTAGCCTCGCTCATCCTCGTCAATAACCGAAAACGGATTTAACGGAACGGAGAGAACTGAAATTCTATCATACAAATTTGAATCTTCGTTTTGCCTCGTGCGACGCACGGTGGAAAACCACCATCATGAAGCATAACCAAGTGAAAGCTCTATTATAGCGGTGCCGCAGCCGCACACAGATTCTGAACAATTTCAACTTCTGAAAAGCAAGATTCTGAAAGTTGCAACAACAAATATTTACTTTCCAAATAAAGCCATAATAATATATCGTGTCTGTTATTTATCTTCATGCCAGAAGTCACATTTGTTTTCGACAAATTTGTTCAAATGTATTATATAGACAAATTCGAAAGTGTTTATCGATATTTCGAATTTCGATATCATAACCCTGAACTTCGTGCAATTAGTTGACATACCAGTGCAGTGTTCTGATTTGGCAGTATGGTTAGAAGCCTTAGCCTGTCCCGGAGGACGAAAAATTGTACTACTACTGACATACCAGTGACAGTTGATTTTTTTCAGTCAAATTCAATCAGCAGGGAAAAATGGCGGCCTTTCTTCCTCGTACTTTAGGTCTTACCGAGGCAATAATTCGGACAAGTGGAACAAAGGTAAATGTAATTACTAATTTATGCGACTCGTGAAGCGTAAGGTATACCTAGGATGAATGATTACAATGTTACTTTCAACTTTAGGTCAAATTTTGTTTAAACATTTATCAGCTTATGATAATCAAAAATTGATGTATTACAATTTTAAACTCACCTTTGGCATCTATTAATCTATTTAGAAAATATATAAAAAGCCTTGGCCGCCATTTATACTTGTATTTATAAATTTGACCTTGCGTTTTTCGTATGTATTGTGCCTTACGTCATCGATTTTATACATTGTTTCCTACATTTTCCGTCTATTATTTCTTATTTAATCAATTAACACTATTAGTTAATCAATGATAATCGAATTCTTATTTGTGACATATTTTGTAAATACTACCACATACATAACCATACTTCCAGCGCCCTAAAACATTAAGTTTAGAAAATAATTAATGATTACAATTACTATCATATTACAATGCCATCACATTATCCATTATTATTAATTTATCTAGGAACACGAGTCAATGATGTTCCTAATGTGTTATAAAGGAGGAAAATCAACTCACTGTATGTAAAAGCATCCTTATCTCATCATCGCTTAGGAGTACATTATAGATAAATGAAAAAGGTAAACTTACCAGAAACATGTTGAAAATGTGGTTTATTCCCAGTTGTCCTAAAGAAAGATGAGCATGTATGAAAGCAATTGATGCTTTGATGCTTTATGTCTAGGTTGTAGGAAATAGAAGTTTGTGGTTTCTGCTCAGCTCCAGTGCAAAAAAACAAGAATTGTTAATGTGTAGCTTGATGTGCTGCTGTCTGTAAAACATTATTAAGCACTAATTGCTCAAAATATAAATATTTCTGAACTATTAATTAAACAGTATAAGCTATGAGTTGTTAGTTTTCTCTGTATCATGTTAATTTGCTGTAACTGAAAACTATGTAGGTATCAACTGTAAAAGGTTTTTGAAACTTTAAACTATATCAAAACTATCCATATTACTGATTTACTTAAATTTTCAAATTTACTCAACTATACTCATGGATGTATTTTGAAGGATCTTAAAAAAGGCTGAATTATGATAACATTCATTTGAACACATACTAGATTTACACACATAAGATAGCTTAATTGAAATCAAAAGACTACTGAAGTTATTAATTTTTCAAATTAAATGTTAAATTGCAATAAAAAATAATTGAACATTTTTTTGGCATAGTGTATTATGAAGATATTCTCAAAAGTGTACTTCCTCACAGCTTTTAGCAGTCACAACATCAAACAACTTGCCCAGGAAACAGCAAGTCCGCCACCTGAATGTGCATGAGTATATCAGCTACACTCTCCTGCGTGATGCCGGCATCCCAGTACCAAAGTTCCATGTGGCTAAGACAAAGGAAGAGGTTGTCCAATTTGCCAAAGAACTTAACACCAAGGACATTGTGCTCAAGGCTCAGGTATGAACTCCATACTATTTTTATCTCTTGCTTAAACATTTGTAAACATTTTTACCTCAAAACAAATTGGTTAGTTACTTATTTAAATATTTTACTTAATATTATAATATAAACTATTCCATTGAATGAAATATAATAATTATAAAAACTAACAATTTCTCTTCTTTGACACTATTATGAAATAGTTATGATGGTGTTGAAGAAGAGAAGTTAAATGTATACTTACCTGTCCTACATGCAGTCTTAAGTTAAGGAATGGAATTTGCTAGTAAGATATTTGTGTTAAGTTCAATTTGATTTTTTATGCAGTAGTGTAGTGACAAGCTGTTGTATCAATATTAGTTGTGAAAGTGTGAATTCTATAAATATTGTATTATTTAAAATTGATCTTTAATGAAACAGGAATTTAGTACAATTAATTAACAGAATTGTATGTCGTTAAGTTTTTGTTTCTTTGTGTATGTAGTGTTCATAATTTTATTGTGTTAAAGTATTAAATTGACATGAATTTGATAGGTACTTGCTGGAGGTCGCGGCAGAGGTTTCTTCAAGAGTGGCCTGAAGGGTGGAGTCCGTATGGTCGACACGTAAGTAAATATGTCATTAAGATATTTCATGAAATAATGTAACCCTTATGTTACTAACTATAAATCCTCATATCATTCTGAATTATAATAAATGATTATTACAAATGATATTTGAGGAATTCTCCGAGTGACGCAGACGGAGTGCATTGTGCAGTTTCCACATACAAGTTGCCAATAAACTCTCCTTATGTTAAGAAACTTTTTCTAGAAGAATAAACAAAACGCACATATCAAATGTGACTATCAGCGCAAAAGTGATGTAACTCATTTTTTTTTCTAAATTTTAATCATGAAATATTTTTTATACATGAAAAAAGGCATCCAAATATATAACGATTGTGTACTTTAGTATCATTTAAATTAATATTGTAGAAAAAAGTGTGGGTCACACCACTTGCATTGAAAGTCTTAAATTATGTTCATATGTAACTTGAGTTAGAACAAAATTGTTACAAAAAAAACTACAAAAAGTTACTACAAATTTATTTAATTTGAAGTAGAATAAGCTTTTTGACTCTTGTAGACGGCTTCACACGATACCCCTGAATAATAATAATAATAAGCCTCATCTTGGCTGTTATAGACTCAACACTGAAAACCATAACTTACACCACCAAAGTCATGAGAGAAATAAATGTAGGCCCTAGAAATATTTCTCCCGGCCCTGGAAACGGACCCGGAACCACTGCATGGCATACCAGCATGGTAACCGTTTGTCCACAGAGGTGATTAATTTATGGTATACAGGGTGTAAATTTGAGACGGGGCAGCAAGGCCAGCTACCTTAATCGTTGTAGTTACAGGGAAGCGATTCTAGAAGACTATCCATGAATTTTGAAGATGTTTTGATTGACATTCACAGATTTTGAAAAAATGGTACAGTCAGCAAGATAAAAGGCAATTTTTTCAAAACTTTTTTTTAATGCCATTCAATCCAGTCTCTGGTAAGGAATAATAGTCTCTATGGAACCAACTGAGGTAAGAGTAGTCGAAATGTCAGAAATCGCAAAAAACTTTTTACCATACATTTTAAATTAAAACTTCGATCCGGTCGATCGAAGGAATTTTTTCTGAGTGTTCGATCTTTGTATTAATAATTATAACAAACTAGTGGAGTAATTTCACAAAAAAAAAATTTAATATCAATTCAATAAAAATTTAATTAAAGCTTTTTGTTAGAAAAAAAAACAGGCCTCTACAAATAAGAATTAAGTAAAACCTAATTATAATCATATCATTATTTTTTAAATTTGGAACAGCTTTGTTTTGTTGTGTTAATAGCGAATTGTCACTTTTAATCTTAGAAGATGGAAAAAATAAAAGAAAGGAGCTGCCCTAACTACGGAATGAAAGTGCATACCTAAACAAAAATGGAACAAACAAATGGCTGATTTCTTTAGTATCGTACCATAATCTATCGATAAGTCATTATAAAAAAGCAAACATTTAATTAAAGTAGATCAATATTCCATTTGGGAACATTTTATGTTGTATGGGAATATCCGGGAATGTCACATGAAATTTTGAATTTATTGTTTTGCGTTTACAAATACTCAAATATTGCGAAAAGTGAATTTGCACAGAAAAAAAAAATATTTGTAATTTGAGAGTATATAAAAAAGAGAAAACTTTGAAATATAAATCCTATACATTTCCAACCTCAAGATTCATTTTTCACAAAGAAATTTTTAAACAGATTCCAAATAGTGTACGATTTTTTGTATTTATGCATTGGTATAAAATTAATACCAGTGACTGATTTTAAGTGAATCCTTAATACTTCCATTTAATTTTGGAAATAAATGAAAGTAGTAATATTATCGATAATAATATTATCATCAAAGTTTTACTTACTTAAAACATGGTACAACAGGAGATGTAACAAGAGACAGTGTTAGTGTAAACATGTTTCGCATATATTAAATAGCATGCAAATGTCTGATTATACAATGTCAATTGACTACTATTGGTCGAGCGCCTTTGATTTGTGCAGAAAAATCGACACTTCTCCGAAGTGAGACAAGTAGTCACGGGCGACTGCGAGTTTTGACAAGTCACGTCAAACGAGCTCTATACACGTTAGCGCTCGCCTTCACTCGGTCAGCTAGGCGAGTGATACCGAACGATGGCAAGGCAAGGCAAGGCAAATAGGCTGTCTATACGTTGGTATTGGCCTTCACCCGGCAACGTTAGACCAATATGGTCTTTGTATTGCTTGGTACATAAAATAAGAATTTTTAGTAGTTAGAGTTGTCAGTGGGAAAAAATCGGAAACGAGTGGATAATTTTGTTTTTAGGAACTGAGAATACCTAGTAAATGAGTCTTGTTTAATCTAAATTGAATATAAAAATATTTACCAATAAACCTAATGATGGAGTTGCATTATCATGTAATCTAGTTACGTTCAAAGTTATGTTAAAATTTGACTCTTCAAAATGAAGCGAATAAATGGAGATGGTCTTTGATTCAATGTTTATATTCGGCGGTATGATTTCCAACCACTCTTTTTCCTTTTTTGATTTGTAGGTAAACCTGAAATAATAAAAATAATAATAATAAAATAAATAAAACCTCGTAGTAAATTATTTTAATAGCAGAATATCGATAATATGTACGCTTCCAAGAACAACACTATCTCAAAATAATCGTTAACAACAATCATCAAAATATACAAACAAACAGGCAATCTGAAGAAACCAAAGCGTTTGGCAAGATTTATGAGTAAACTACTTAAATATGTCTAATCACATGAGATATTTGGGCTTTCGTGTGATTTATAGACAGAAAATTAACACGTGCCTGTACACTGTAATGCTGCAGCGAGGAATTTTTATTAATACTTAATTGTTCTCAGTGTCAATATTTTTGTCCATTTTATTACAATACATGCGAATAATTCAATAAAACACTTGGAAAAACATTCGTTTTGACATTTGATGTACTTCTCTTTGACAACCGTATCATGTACCTCATGTACTGCGAAATGGACACAGTTGGCATTTAAGATGACGTTAGGTATTGTCGATTCCCGTGTTTGACACAGACCAATGTAATGCTATCTCTTTTAGCTTTTAATACGATTTTTAATCAAAATGTTCTCAAATGTAGAACGCTTAGACTTATTGGAAGGTACAAACTGTACAGCTGCTTTGGAGTGGTATAGGGTCAAATATCCTTTACGAAGAGTGCCCACCAGACGGGTTATAATAAATATTTTAAGGAATCTTGAAGAATGTGGCTCCTTTAGCAAAATATTGGTACGGGAACCTCGTGTTCTCGATGAAAATATGGAGATTGCGGTTTTGTCACTCGTAGAAGCTTTTCCTGACATATCTTCAAGAGAAGTGGCCGTCAAAGTGGGTATTTTGCACACGCAAGTATGGAAAGTATGGAAGAAATACGGACACAAATGTTATCGTCGGGGTCGAATAGTACAAGCATTACATGTCGGAGATAATATTCGTAGAACTTATTTTTGCAGATTGCTTAGCGGAAAAATAAGCCGAGATAATTTTTTAAATTACATTCTATGGTCTGACGAAACAAATTTTTCAAACAATGGTATGTACAACAGGCGAAATCATCATTATTGGTCAAGAGAAAATGCGCTGAGATTTACCGAAAGCTATAATCAGATTCGTTTCTCTTTTAATTGCTGGTGCGGTCTTATGTCAAATAGAATCGTAATGGTGGAAGTTACCCTGAATTCAGACACTTACAGTGACACAATTTTAGAAAACCTTCAAAATCGTTTGGACGAATTGCCGCTTTCGCTTTTGAGAAAAGTGTATTTTCAACAAGATGGCGCTCCGCCACACAATAGCCGCCGAACGCGTTTAAATTGAAACCAGCTATTTGGAAACAAATGGATTGGAACACATGGTCCTATCAAATGGCCACTTTGCAGTCGTGATCTGACGCCCCTTGATTTTTTTCTTTGGGACTATGTAAAAAATAAAATTTATAAAAAAAAATACAACAGTGTTCAAGATTTGAAAGACACAATTGCTGAGATTTTCAATGGAATCAATCCGAGTAAAATTTCAGCCGCTACTTGCTCTTTGCCGAAGATAGCGAATCGACGCATCGGCCAAGGCGGCAAGCACTTACCTACTATCATAAATTTTTTAAGTTATTTTGCTTTTTGTTATTGTTTTTATTTTGAAATACATAATACGTTGTCAATTTGTTAGTTTCCTTAACTACCTAAAATAACTGATTACTAAATAGGTCCCTACAAAATGTATGGTAAAAAGTTTTTTGCTATTTCTGACATTTGGAGTACTCTTACCTCAGTTGATCCCATAAAGACTATTAATCCTTACCAGAGAGCGTATTGAATGGCATTAAAAAAAAGTTTTGTAAAAATTGCCTATTATCTTGCTGATTGTACCATTTTTTCAAAATCTGTGAATGTCAATCAAAATATCTTCAAAATTCATGGATAGTCTAGTCTAGTCTAGTCTAGTCTAGTTCTAGAACCGTTTTCCTGCAGCTGGCAGCAATATTGCTTATTTGGTAGTAATTGTTTCGGACGGAAGTCCGACGGAGATCGAGAGTAGACCCCCTGATACGAATCGGACGTAGCGCGCAAACGCTCTTAGTCCATGACATATCATGCTAAGACCTTAAATACACAAGAATTGTAATGTTATATTTAATCATTTGGAGCAAAGTCCACGTACAAATCTCGTCAGAAGGGTAGATTTGTACGTGGACTTTGCTCCAAATGACTTATTTTTTATTTAGTGCAGTTTTTTTAGTGCAATAGTTTTTATTTAGTGCAAGCCGTAAGGATACCTCAGTGGCCTTACGGCTTGCACTGTGCGCGTTGGATGAGTAAAGCTCCGATTTGATTCCCGGTATGACCATTTTTGGAAATAAATTGATTCTGGTCTGGGCGTGCCGGGTAGTGCGCCAGAGTGAAATCTGCTGCCCTGGTACCCACAGTACAAGGAATTTCTCTCTGGCACACTGTAGTTATTATAATTTCTGACCTATTAGAAGATAAATGAGGTGAATGCGCGAGTTTCGACTTTAGCGTATACTTAAGACAGTTTACGTGACAAGATAATGTAAACTTATGTCTTATAATTCTTCGTAAACATTGTTGTTAAAATGACTAATACAAATATTTGATTTAATAGTCACTTTTCGTAACTGACCACGAAAAAAAGTATTATTCACATTCCAAGGATGTCTCTTTAACCACGACTTGACTGAATAATAAAAATAATAATCATTTATTTTTAGTCTTAAGTACATTCCAGAGCACATCATTTGGACTTTAGATCGTTCTTATTGCAAGCGGCATAGAATAAAATTTAAACTTTTAGTGTCAAGCTTGACGTGCTCTTGACCCTGTACTTATCGTACACGACATAGAGTTGGATTTAAGTCTTAAGTGTAAAGCTTGACGTGTTCTTGACCCTGTACGAAATTAAAGTCCATGAATTTGGATTAAAAATAGAACAATTCACTTATTTCTTACTAACATTGTCTACTTTTGTATGGCATATTAACTATTTCAATTGAAAATACTCATAGCCCGGAGGTGGCGGGCGAGCTAGCCAGCAAAATGTTGAAGCAGCTGCTGGTGACGAAGCAAACAGGTGCTGCGGGCCGCATCTGCAATATGGTCATGGTCACTGAACGCAAGTTTCCGCGCCGCGAGTTCTATGTTGCCGTCATGATGGAGCGCAGTTTTAACGTAAGTTGTTTTTTGAGTATTTCACCCCTTTTGCTAACCAGCGTTAATTTCGGGGATTTCTATAAGCGCGTTATATTTGACACGACAGACGGACGGAAGACGTTGGCTCTCTGTGCGTGTTCTACCGTCTTTATAGTGGGGAATGGTCTGAGTATTTTTTGGACCTGGTACCACCGTCTCGTTTGCACCAACGCACCTCCCGCCAATGGAGTATAGTGCATTCCCACATCTTAGATGCCTGGCATTGTAAGCCCACGAGGGCATCTCGTTCGTTCCTTCTTCGAACCTGCAAGATGTGGAATGATCTTCCTCCTGAAGTATTTCCTTTGCGCTATGACATGGGGTTCTTCAAAAAGCGTATTTACAGGGCTTTCAAAGGCTGGCAACGCATAGGCAGCTCATCTGATGTTGCGTCAAATATCCATGGGCGACGATGACCACCTCCCATCAAGTGGCTCGTATGCTCGTTTACCTTCTCCTTTACATTAAAAAAAATTGTACTGGTATGGACGCTAGATATGAGATTCCCAGTTCGACTCCCGGTATGAATAAGTCTTACTAGTACAACCGGAGATAATTTTGTTACTCTTTTGCTTATAGTATAGAGAACATCCCAACTTGAAACCAGGTTATTTGTATTATTGTGTAAAATATAACCAAAGTTAATGTAATAATTTTAAAGCGATTAAATAGACTGTTAGGGAACGACGTACTCCTAGAAAATACAAAAGAAGCATTTCCATCGTGGCAGACATTACGCTCATCTTGTTTTTACGATGAGGTGATTCTGCATTGTTCTGTTATTACACAATCACATTTCGATCTGATGATAACGAAACCGTAGAAAATTTGTCTAATATTCTTGCACTTTAGTAGAACTCTGTTCTGTATAAATGAATACCTCAAATACATGGATATTTGAAAAGGTCCTAAACCATATTGCACACAATATAAGAAACAAAAAGAAAGGGTATCTGTAAATAATAATGTTGGTAGGGCGCTTCCAGTCCGTTGTCGCTATTGCAAACATTCATTAACACAATGATGTTTTTTTACTTTTTTTACCTGGAACTGTCAGACGTATCGTCATCTTTAGTCGCATAATAGGTTAGACTATCGTCTTTTTTTTTGTTGCCAACTCATTGGCCGGTGAAAGAGACGACAGCAGCAAAGTGCGCATGTTGGAGGAGGATGGAGGATACAAAGGAAGGAAGTCCTCGCAAGTGCTAAGATCTACCCTATACTATTTTTGATAAATGTCCAATACAAAGAAAAGAAAATATGAAATCCAACAAACAGTTTTGTGATTTTGAAAAACACATCACATTTCACATTAATTGGGGACGTTATTTGACTCCTTTAGTCAACTAGTCATCCGACAGTTATGTGATTTTTTTTGACACACATCGTATTCTCACTTAATAAGGTTGCATAAGGCCCAGTGGAACCGTCCATTTGTTTTCCGGTTTCTGGACCATAAACAAAAAGGGTAATTTATATAATGTTTGATTCGTAACAGGGTCCAGTGATTATTGCCTCATCTCAAGGAGGTGTGAGCATTGAAGACGTGGCTGCCGAGACCCCTGAGGCCATCATATACGAACCTATCGACATTGTGACCGGCATTACCGAAGAACAAATCAAACGCGTCGTTACCAAGGTATTTTATTTTTTTGCAACGACCAACAAGACACACACTGAATACATATTTTTTTATTATACATTTCAAATGGAGTGGTGCTAAGGCGTTGTTCAGTCAACGTTTTCCACAACATACAACAGTCAAACACAACTGGTTATTTGTATACATTTTATCACTCTTTAAGTAAACTGTTGTTTATGTACAAGGTTCCACTTATTCTAAACATGCTTCACTTTTCATGTCATCCACAGTCTTATCTTTTTTGAAGACTTAGTAAAACACATTTGCAGGGTTGCCAATTTACATAAAATTTTAAATAGTAATGTAGTTGTTGTTGGCAGTTTTATCGATAGATTGTGAAAGAAGGTAAAATTTTGCCAAAAATGTCAGAACTGTGAATGTTACGACGTTCTAGTGATTACTATTTGCGTCATTGCCTTTTTTGTTCTTATTTTGACACTTGGCCAACCAGTATCGAAATAATTTTTTATTCATATACATTTTAAGAACAGAGGCGGATTTGATTATCTATATTTAATCAAACCAGCTTTAATTATTATTATTATTATATTATCAGTCACACTTTACTAAAAGCCTCAAATTATTGGCTTGTAAAGGAACCCAGTTTTTGCAGATAGAAGAAGACGAAATATGGTCTTAACAGAACCCAGGTAGATACACATTGTATTGCATGAACTTGATTCCGGTCTGTAAAGGTTAACACCAGCCAAAAAGCTGAGAATCGAAAAACATACTTGTTAGCAATAATGATCAACTTATCTACTATGTTAGTTTATACACTCAAATGCTTATAAAATGGCACACATGCCTGAGGTATATTTTTACTTAATATTGGCTTGCAACACCAGCAATGAAATGTCCTAGCATGGACTCTGACAAAACGCATTAATATAGGTCTATTTGTATTTTTTTTTAGATCGGCCTGGAAAATCATATGAACGAAGCAGTGGATATGATAAAAAAAATGTACGCCCTATTCTTAGAGAAGGACGCGCTTCTCATCGAAATTAACCCTTACGCCGAGGACGCCATTACTGGCAAATGTGAGTTAAAACAACGCACAAAGTCGTCAAATATCGTGTTCATCTTGGAAAATTGATATTAGGGCTAGTCGGCTACATTTCAATGCCGGTTAATTAAGTGTAATGTAATAAACTAAATCGATTTTGACTTCTTAAAGTATGTCAATGTCTTCAAATCTTTATTGACACTGCTTTAGGATCATTTTACATTCCCGCAGAACGTAATGGAAGCGAGTGTTTGTAACGAAATTGTACATAGCATGACTTTTTGTCAACTTTGTAACGTATAAAGTTGACATAAAGTTCATTATGATTTATTGATCAAAATTAAAAAAAATGAAACCTATTAACTAGTTATAAACACTTCACGGCGAAGGAGTTCAGATATGTTATAAATAATTTAAAACTGGACTTGTGTCCTATCTTGTTACACAAAAATAACTTAATTACAATAAGAGAACTACAGAAATGCTAAATTGCTTACTTATACTATAACAAACAAACAAATTACAAAGTACAGTTTGTACCTTCACTTTTAAGAAATATTTCTTAACCCGTTCATGGATAGTACTTAAATAAAGACACAAAAATGTAACTATGTTTCTTTGTACCTTAGTGCTTATATTGTTTTAATAGAAATTTTCAATGTAAATCATTGAATTTTTACTTTGTTATTGTACTCTATGGAGAAGCAGTACCGAATAGAAGGCGACTTTTGTCTGACTAGTCAAATTTCAAAAATTCAACCATGGTCACGCTGGAATAAGACACGCGTAGGCTGCAACTGCATAGGAAACATTTGGGGATCGCACTGTGAAACCCGTAGTTGGTTTTGTGAGGTCCATATAGCGAAACGGGGTATTCCATACTACCATATTGTTATTACATTTTACGGTATACGCCGTTGCTATCCATGAACGGATTAAATGCCGGGTTTTATGTTAAATAATTAAAAACGTCCGTGACGGGACGAACAAGTCTTGCGCCGGATGGTAAGCTACACGCCTGTCCATAACAGTTGCAGTGCCACTCAGAGCTTTAAATCGCAAAGATTTGAGGGGCACTGCCACTGCGCCCGTCACCCTGAGACATAAGTTGACAAGTCCCATGTGTCTGTAATTTCACCAGCACCCTTACCCTTCAAAACCGAAACACAATACTGCTTGGCTGCAGAAATAGGTAAGGTGGCGCCCTGGACGAACTCATTCACATGGAGCTCTACTGCTACTAATCTACTACTACTACGGCTGCGTAAGAAGCGTGTGTAAAGGGAGAGGATTAGGGTCTGAATCACTGCTGACGCGCTGCTAAAAGTGGCCGTGTGTAACCGCTCTATGAGTGTTACTTATAATTTCTTCTAACGTGCAGTTGAGTAATCATAATTTGAGTAATGTTTCCGAAGTATGGAACTTGATTAAAATATATTCTTTTCTCAGTCTTCTGTCTGGACGCTAAGTTTCGTTTTGATGACAACGCTGTCTTCAGACAAAAGGAGTTATTCGCCCTTCGCGATATCACACAGGAAGATCCGAAAGAAATTGAAGCAGCCAAATTTGAACTCAACTACATCGCGCTTGATGGTACGTATATTCCATTGTTGTTTAAGATACATTCTTTTCACGCCATTTTCTCAACGGGACAGGCAGAGACCTTTCACTGGCTACGACCTTGACACACATCTTTCGCCTTATTAACATCGTTGTTGTTTTGCAACTAAATAAATAATAATAATGATCCAGATATCCGCTTTAATTACCTGGCCACAAACAATTTGAAAAAAAAAATCTGGGGCACTACCTATGACACCCAGACGAGAACTAAGTTAGAAATCGTTTTTAAAAAAGCCCTAACGGGAATCGATCTTGGCACCTCATCACGTAGTATTTACTAACCGTTGGGCCACCGAGATCGTTAAATTGTAGATTTATAATCTCAGTACAGACTCCTAAAAAAATCGACCTCAAAAGTACGTGGAATTATATATGTAATTACAAAGTTTTATTGAAATCGGTTACCGGAAAGTGCGCAAACCCGGACTCATCCCCTAGTTAGCTACTATACGGGACTTGACACAGGAGATAATAAAAATCGGTTCTCCCTGCTCAAAGTATATTGAGAGTAAAACGCCTTGAATTAGACAATTGCAAAATCAACCATGAAAATTGCTCCTGTCATTACTTCTACAACTCTAATTTTAGAGTCCTTGCCTGGACCCAACGGCCAGAATTGTGGATGATGGAACATTTTCCTCCTGTTTTAACGAAAACTTCTGTAGTTTGACGGTCCGAAGCTCGTAGAAATTATGAAGGAAAAATTGCAATTCAATAAACAAATAAATTAAACTACCAAACAACCACAACAGTTAAATTACCTGGTTCTGCCGGGCATCGAATCCGAGGCCTCATCATCGAGCTCACAGAGCTTAGCTGTTCGGCTACCGAGGTCGACAATACGTAAACTCGCGCGCTGACTCCGCCCACTGATTGTTGCTACGGCAACGGCGTCCATTATTGTCGGGTGTCAATATTATTCACAATTTACCGGAAAACTTTGAGATGTCATAACTTATTTATTTGTTAAGTATTTGAAAAAAAAACCGAACATGTATATTTTATTTCCATTATACGGTATGCTCCTTTAAAATGGTTAGTGTTTTTTTATCACCCTGTATAATATATCGGTATATATAGTACAGCGCGTCTCATGGCTATGCCACGCGGAGGGAAAGTGCTGAAATACATAGGTAGAATTTTACTTAAAGAAGACTTCATTTTAATTTTAAAAACAATTCGATATGTATTCAAAGATATTTAAATAATCGCCTGTCTGAACCGAGAATCGAACCCGCTAAAAGTGAAAAAATAAAGGCAGTCACCCTGCCCCTCGACCCAAGCAAAATGAACCGTATTGTTAAGGGAAAAATTCGACTCTTACAGGCGGGAGTTGCAGTACTTGTTTCATTATACCTTTATTCCCTATTTATCCCTATATCAGTATATTATCCCTACACAGTACTTGCAAGAAAACGTAAACATTCTCGTAACAGTAAGTAACTTGGTAACAGGACGTTCATTATAATCAATAGTCAATGCATCACATGTCTACTGATTGGCAGATGAGAGACAACAATGTACACAGACATGACCTTCGCCCATAGCTACCGACTCAATAGTCTGTTTAATTTTCAATCGAGTTCAATCATATTGTGAGCTGGATATCGTTTATTTATTAACGTGTTGTTTTAAGGTGAAATATTACTTTTACACGAATGCACAGATAGTATACAAGAGTTAAAATTTACTAATAATAATGTGCCACACATATAAGTTACAAGTGCCTCTATCTTAGATTATAAGTGACAGTATTGCTAGCGACCGCGTAAAATGTTTGTATACAAAATGTTGTTTCTTTTTGAGACCGCTAGAGACACTGTATAATTTGCCATACAAAATTGTGAAGTAATTTACGCGGTCGCTAACGACAACTGTCATAGTAAACTCATGGTAGAGGCATTAGTCTCAAACTAGGGAAGTCCCTGTAATATGAGTCAAAGAGCAACGGGATTCACGGGTCGCGCTATCCAGAACACCCGACTAGAGTCAATTTAGAAAAATTCTTTTTCACAAATGATTCCTACCAGGAATCAAACCCAGTCGAACTTGAACTCCGTTGGATCACCGGGGTCGTCAACTATATTTTTATAAAATAGAGAATGCCTTGTGGCATCCGTCATTTATACAGCATTGTAATGATCAATAAAGTTTAAACAAATAAATGTACAGTGTTTTTTAATGGGACAGTATGGGAACATTCGATAGATAGAAGATAAAAGGAAACTGTCTTAGGAAACATTAATTCTTTTCTTATGAAAACTATTTTGACATAGTCAATGTTTTGGTTAAGCGTGGGTTGTCCATAAAAATGAATAAAATTTATCAAAATTTTTTTACTACTGATCGACTCAGTTTCATTTGAGGATCATTTCATTGTATGGGACGAAAAAAATCGGGATAACAGAAGTTGGGCAACTTTAATCAAATATTTTTCATACAAAATCCCGCGCTTTATGTCGCTTTCGCGCAAGTCGTGCCCTATCGTGCTAGCCCAACTGCAATCGTAATGTACTGCGTCTGAAGGCGTGACGCATGCATTATTCCGACGAGGAGGCATAATTAAGCTTTTAAGTTATATAAAATGTTAAAATCTAAGGCAACATCGGATGCATGGTGAACGGCGCGGGTCTGGCGATGGCGACCATGGACATCATCAAGCTTTATGGTGGCGACCCCGCGAACTTCCTCGACGTCGGTGGCGGTGCCACTGCACAAGCCGTTGCGGTGAGTAATTTCTTTCCGTTGTAATAAATTCCGCTGTCGGTGCTCTCCATTTCAGATATACTAAAATAAACCATTAGATTGCCGTCTTAAAGGAAGGCCGCATCAGTTACTTCTGCGCGTTATTTTTTAAAATTTTTTTTAATTGTTCGTCACTAAAAATTATATGTTTTAAGTCAGGTTGTGCCAATAAAGAATTAAATTAAGTATTTAGTTATATATGCGTTAAAAAAATAGATTTAGGCGTGTTATACGGAAGTCCAAGTTGATAAAAATGTAAGTCTAATAACTGTAAGTAAATGTAAGTCATGAAAAAAAATTGTACACAAGCGCAGCTATTTTGCGCGATTTACCTTAACTGGGCTCGCGTAAAAGCAAGTTAATTTACTTTCATTAAAAATTTTATAAAATAATGAAAATTAGTAATGCAATGTACAAAGTTCTACAACAAATTAAAGCCAAAGTACAAAATTATTAACCAATGTCTAGCATCGTTTAAAGATATCGAATGTCACTCTTGTATTGATTAGATATGGTGCATGTAAAAGAGATAAACCTGAATCATTTTCATTGCTCTTAATACAATAGGTATCGCACAGTCAAGTTTGTAACTTAAACGCATAGACAATATGTGATCAGATTATTCAATGTGACACGTCACTTTAGTAAGCGCTATATTTCGACATCTTTGCAACTGCAAACGACCCTAATATCCAACATTACAGTATATTCCAACATATGAATTTCAAATCACAACTTGCCTTTAATGCAGTGTTGTATGAACACAAATAAATTCCTATGAATGCAGTAGTGTCGACTCACATTGACAATAATATAAGCTTTCTGATTGACTGTGATTTATACAAATCGATAGATAGAGATTGTATCTCTTAATGATAAGAGAAGTATTGTATACTTGTTGTACTTTGCAGTTTAAATAAGTATGTTTATCGTGCGTAAAGTTCTTGCTTTATGGCCTTTATCCTGTTACGCGTAACTATTATCTATGTATGTTAATATTATTAATGTGTGCATGATAATCACTCTACTAACCTAGTCTCAAACTAGGGAATAGTCTGTGCTATGAAACGAAGTAACGTTTTGCGCTTCTCAGAGCACGAGAACTAGTTTAGAAAAGTTTGTTTCCCTACCAAAAAACTAATCTGGGACTTCTCATCAAACGGCCATAGTACTTATTAACCGCTGGGTCATAGACGTCATTAATTTGTATTATCTATGGTGTTTACGCTGATAATATGTGTGGCCCAGCCATCGAGCATGGACCCAGCGCATCCGACGTCAAATACGACATGGTAACTACCACGAGAGACAATAGAAGATGTTTCGTTTATTGGCTACTTGCAGTCTACTGCTAAATAAATAATAATAGTGAGTAGTCTGTGGAAATATTTATAATATTTCTGCCGCCAAGCAATAATGTGAGCATTACTGCGTTCCGGTTTTGAAGAAACTATAGGCACATGAGACTTTCTGCTTATGTGTCAGAGCGACAGGCCAAGTGGCTGTGTCCCTCTGATCTTTGCGATTTAAAGTACTGCAACTGCTATAGACCGGCGTGTGGCTAACACCAGACGCACGACTTGTTCGTCTCGTCCTTGGTATCATATAAAAACGTATCACCTGCATCATGAATGTAAATGACATTCAGACGCATATGGCTAAGATACGCGTTCGAAGACGAATATATGTGGCAGGACAGAATGAAAGAAATAAGGTTCAAAATTTGTACGGCACTCCATAAAAATGTAAATTTCCAAAACCTGTACGGCTATATTCTTGTACGCACTTTTTTTGTGTATACACATATTAGACTAATCGTCATGCAACCTTTATTTTCAGGAAGCCTTCAAAATCATTCTTCAAGATCCAAAAGTTACGGCCATAATGGTGAACATATTTGGCGGCATCATGAGGTGTGACGTCATCGCCGAGGGCATCATCAACGCTGCCAAGAATCTGAATATTCAGATTCCCGTCATTGTCCGTTTGCAGGTATTTAAATGCCCAATATTGTTCAGCTTAAATATACATTAAAATATCACAATGTCTATTATAGGATATTTTATCTTTCCAAATTATTGTTGTGAGATAAACCACAGTCTTATTTTGCGGAGATAATTTACTCGAACGAAAACGACAAAACTGTTTAAAGTTAGACAGGACAGAAACACTGGTTTTTACGGCAATATTGAGCGGGAAACACGGAATATTAATGCGACGTGGCAGCCTTTTTGGTTGCAATGCACCACATTGACTCTATGTGTTCGAGTCTTAGTAAAATGTTGTAGTTAAATGTAATTATTCAATTTGAACAAGTTTTCTCTCGTGAAATGTGAACCAGTCAATTTGATTCAGATTTCCTCGCACTATTTTCCTTTGACATTAAAGCTTGTGATAATAATATTAATAATATTCATTTAGTTCGAGGTCCCCATGTCTGGGGTCCCGGATTCGATCCCCGGCCGGGTCAATGTAGAAACTAATTTTTTTATATTGTCTTGTGGCTGGGTGTTTGTGGTACCGTTCTTGTTTCCGATTTCCATAACATAATGCTTTAGTTTCTTACTTTGGGATCAGAGCAACGGCGATATATGATGTCGTCTGATATAATTATATTCAAGTTTGTGAGAGGCGGGAGACTAAACTGGGATACATATTATCAACTCTACTATAAGGCGTAATTAACTTAGATTATGTAAATAATCTACATTATATTTAAAATAAAAATTTGCAATGCATATTATAAATATTTTTTTTAATGTCATGTTTTTGTTACTAGTTTGGTGTTATTTTTGATACGAAGATCGAACAAACACAAAAAACATTCCTTCGGTCCGGCTGGATTCGAACCAGCGCCTTTTTGCCAGACCGGGGCCATCTATTTCAATAAATGTTCACGTGTTCCCAGGGTACTAAAGTAGATGAAGCAAGGAAACTGATTGCGGAATCTGGTCTCCGCATCGTGCCACGTGACGACCTGGACGAGGCTGCGGCGCTCGTGGTACAGCTCTCCGAGATCGTGGCGCTCGCCAAGAAGGCAGGCGTTGAGGTGCAGTTCGATATACCACAGTATTTTATCGAGAAGTAGAGCATTGACAGTATTCAACTATATTTAATAACATTCAGCTTCTACCTTTTGACATTTGAAACATAAAAAAGATACGCATAAAAAGCTTAAAGTGTGTGATATGTACGTGGACGTCGAATATCGAAATATACAACCAGAGGTCGTTTTAATCCATTTTACACAAAAAGTAAACAATCAGGTCGCTGACCCGACCATAGATAATTTAATGATGGCCAATTGTAATGCCAACTACGACGACTTAATCTATTTGTTTAATTTGAAACAGTTGGAATAACTTTTTCTGAGTGACGATATTTTCATACATAGTAGTAGTGCATGGTATACTTATACTACGAATGGTTTTTCTTACGTGACCTATAAAAGTAAATTTAAAATTTCCGAAATATTATGTTAATGTTAATCCTCCTTCAAATCCACTTAAATACTTGCACGATTGTGATTGAAATGTTCGATTTACTAATTTACTACAAAAACATCAATTGAATGAACTGAATGAATTTTTTCGTACAGCACTTGCAACCATGGACAATCCATACTTCTACATTTGAAAAATGAACTCACCTTTGAACAAACATTTTTCAAATACGATTTTAAAATGGAAAAAGTGATGAGATATCGAGACGACATTTTCAAAATATACGTGAGAGTGTTACTTGTTCCACTTATTGAGTGATTGCTTACTTTTACTGCGAAAAAGACCGGTTTGTTTACTTTTACTTCGAAAAAGATTGAAACAGACTATAGTTTCCATCAAAGAAACTGTTCATAAAAAAGCTGATTGTTAGGGATGTAGTTACTATCATTTGGTACAGCTTTTCAATAGTAAGCGAAGTTATAAATCTCGAGAAGTATTAATAATGCATCGTCGCATTTGCTACTGAATATTCAAAACGATATTGTTCATTATCTGTATGTAATTAGAATATGTACGAAGCCGTATTCTATGTGTAGTCAATACAATGATATGATATTTTATAGTTGTAGATAGGTAAGTGGAAATGTTTTTAAATGTATTTTTTGTTTGTTGATAATTTACTCACCGATGTTATTTTATGTGATACTTAATACATTTCAAATGTTGGTTACCTCATGTATTACATGTAAATGTTACTGGTGGATCGGTATGAATATTCTCTCGCAAACTCAGTGCAAAACCTCTACCATGAGTTTACTATGTTAATTGTCGCTACCTATTGCGCCCCTAGCGATGAAAAGAAAAATAAAATTGTCTGTAGACATATAGAAAATTCCTTTTTTAAACTGTGATCTCGTGGTAGAGGTCCAGGTTGTAAAACAACTTTATGATTAGACTCTATCATTCATTACATTATTTATTGAATTTTCATTTTAATAGAACATTAGTAGATAAGTTGTTGTTGGTTGTTGAATAGGTAGTTCAAATTGTTTAACTATTTACAAAGAGCTGCGTAATGTATGATGTGACAGAATGATGTCACAAAATCGTCCTATGGTAGCCAAAAATATTGTTATATACCGATTCGAAGAGTCGCCTGTATCTTATTTTTTAATTTATGTAGTTGTATTATGGTGTATTATGTCCCATCGCTGGACCTCGAGACGTGTATCAACGCAATAATCATTGTATTTATGTACATTAAGTACTTTGTATGTTCCTTTGTAAATAGCGACAATTTTTTAATGCTCATGTATTGTTGTAAAATCATAAACGCAACCATCGGAAAGTTTTAAATACAAGTACAATGTCGTTTAACGCAAATTATATTTATTTACATCATTGTATTGTAATAAACTAATTTTAGATCTGATTTGCCTTTTTATTATTAAAGTAGATCGTAGAATAGTGAAAGCAATTGTAGCCAAGATGCGTTGGTTTGTAAGTCGCTTAGCAGTCAGTTGGCGTGAGCAGAGATCGCCATAGCATAGTATATATATTACCTAAACTTGAAGGTAGATATACTGATAGAATGAATAATACCATAGTTGAATAAGAGCAAGTAGGGCAACTCTCACGTGTTCGGCGCGTAAATGCTACACTTAGCTGGGAGGGTAGGGTTGTCGCATTATTATTTTGGTTGTAATTTGAATTTTGAACAATTTTGTGCTAAATCGAATAATCGTTCTTAAATGCAATAGGTACCGATATTTTTTACCAGTATCGCGGATTGGTATCTTGATAATGGAGTATGATTACAAAATACTGAACAGTTCTAAATTTAAGGCACTCTTGTTCAAACTACCACAAATATACAATAAACAATCATTTTATAAACACCAAGCGGTCACGTCACGAAGCGGTCGGTTGCATCAATTCTATATTCTATTCTGTATTGAAAGGCGAGTGCGACGACTCGCTATATGCAACGCGAGTGCTCCGCGAGATCACTGCTGTGCTTACGATAAGAATAATAAGGCTCAATTTATATTTAGGCGGAATGGAACGGAAGCGAATTTTTGTAACGATATTGATGTAAACACGCCACCACATCAAGCTACACATTGACGTATCTTGTTCCGTTGCTATGGAGGCGATTTTCGAACAAAAATGTGTAGTCTGATGTGCCGTTGTCCGTATATGGCGTAATGAACTGTATGGTCAACATACAACGTAGATACGAACCAAAAATCACGTCGGACATCTTTCGCGGATTTTCGCGCATTTGCGAGAAATCCGCAGCTGCCGTCAGCGACGCCTGGGGAATCCGCGGGAAGTGGCGCAATGGCAAACGCAGTGTGACGTGGAACGCTTTCTCGCGTAGCGAGGCGAACTTGACGCTTCCGTTCAATTCCGTTCTGCGGCAACGTAAATTGAGTCTAAGTGTACATGAATTTCAAACATACTTACTGTTAATATGTAAGCACAGCAGATTATGCAAATGTGTGCGCCGTGCACACGTACAAGCCGCGCTGCTATTTTTGTATGGAGTACCATACTTGTCTTATTATGATTCCGGTATTATTGTATTTTGATCTATTTTTGATGTATTAGTAATATAGCAATTACTTTAGTATTTATTATACGGTAGTGTATTTAGAAGAAAAGTTTCATAATTATAAGTGAAAATAAAACTATTTTGTCTTAATTTTTTTTACTTATTTTTAATAATTCTTTAAAAATAGCTATATTATCTACCTATTATACGTATGTATATACTTGAAGTTTAGGTAAGATACTCTCGTACTTCTGATTTCTGTTTAATATATACGCTTTGTTCCTAAGTCTCAATTTACATTGCCGCGGTACAGAATGGAACGGAAGCGTCAATTTCGCCTCTTCATGAGAAGGCGCGCGAATTAGCGTGATTTTTTAAAGGACATTGCAGTTGGCCGCTGAATGCCGTGACTGCGCCATCGGATAAATGGGCGAGTTGAAGGCTCGTAACCTATTAAAAATAAACTAAAATTAAGTAGCGAACCTGAGGGCGTCCAACTAAGCACGGACCTTGTCTCAGAGAGCTACTGGAGACTTCCGCCGGCAGGGCGTTGTAGAAACAAATCTGCGCGTGTACTCGCTGAACTGAGGGGCTCTTTGTCCTCACCACGGTGGCTGTGAAAATTATCGAGAATGCGCGAGAATTCCCTAAAAGACATGCGAGCCTATAGCGCCCCATTCATTAGCTAATAAATTCGCCTTGTATATATATGAAATCGCACGCTGCGTGAGACGGCCTTGTCTTATTCCAGTGTTACTAATAAACAAGTATTTTGTGGGGGACCAAATTATTTAGTCAGTTCCAGTAGCAAAAAGTAAATCATTTTTCTAATCGTAGAGCTTGTAACAGAGTTCGTTCAGAGAAGTACTACCACCTTACCTGTTTCTGCCGTCAAGCAGTAATGTGAGCATTACTGCGGTAAGGGTGCTGGTGAAATTACGGGCACATGGAACTTGTCAACTTATGCCTCAGGGTGACGGGTGCAGTGGCAGTGCCCCTAAGATATTTGCTCTGAAAGCTCTGAGTGGCACTGCAACAGTTATAGATGTGTGTCGCTTGCCACCAGGTTCACACGACTTGTTCGTCCTGTCACCTGGTATTGAAAAAAAAGGGCCGATGTAAAGGTAGGAATGAGTAAGTAAGGGTATCTGTTATGAAAAAACTTCGCGTCACCGTTTTCAATCTCGAGAACCACACCATCTAGCTTGGAAATAAATCTGTAACAAGGAGACGTTAACAAATTTATGTTTCCAATAACAAGCAAGTTACTCAACTGTTACTTTTACATAATGATGTTAAGCTTTATTGATTGAAATTTTTAGTATATGTATAAACCGTGGGTCGGCTCCGGGCCTGCTCGAGGCGAGTGAAACGCGTGGAATACAGTCGAGTACAACTATTAATCAAAATTTGTCGGAGTAAAGAATAAATGAATAGATTAATGAAATGAATCGTGAATATTAAACGCCGATTATATTCTTATTTTTTAAATGTTTTGTAAGTTTTAATTTTAAACCTTATGTCCCGTCCAGGACACGGTCATTTTATATTCTGATTTTAAATAAATATATATATATATATATATATATATATATATATATATATATATACCTAGCCAGGTCATAAATTCTGTCACATGTTTAATATAAAATAATTGAAACAAGTTTATTCATTATGTAACCATTTATATACCAAAATGAACTTAACAAAACATAGATTCTTATGACACTAAAGTTTATTCAAAATTACCTCCGTGATTTTGAATACAGGCTTTCAATCTGCGCGGCCAGTTGTCTATCGCAGCACGAACGAGGTCCATGTCAATATCGGCGGCTGCCTTAATCAAGGATGTCTTGAGTGACTCCAAATTGGGATGAGGCTTTGAGCACGCCTTTTCCTCCAAGTGTTGCCACATCTTGTAATCTAACGGATTCAAATCTGGACTGGAGTGCCAGTCTTCGTGCCGGATGAAGTCGATGTCGAGTCGACACGCGCCGCCAGCCAGTCTTGTGTGCTCTTCGCTCTATGAGCTGGCGCCGAATCTTGTTGGAATACCCAGTGCCTGTTATTGAACAAGGTATGAGAAACAGGTTCCACAAGGTTCGTCAGGACTGTATTTTGATACACAACTGCATTCGTTTTTACACCTTTCTCACAAAAATGTACCTCTGTTAAGCCCCAATAAGAAACTCCCAACCATACCATGAGCGAGGATGGAAAATGACCTCGTTGGACACGCGGAATACGGATGCTCGCTTCTTCACTACTGTGTGCGTACACCTTATCATTTTGTTTGTTGTAGCTCTCTTCTACGGTAAAAATTTTTTCGTCTGAAAAAAGAATTTCCCGATATTTTTTTCCCGCGTACCGTTTCAACAAAGCGCAGCATCTCTTCAGTCTCAGGTCCATTAGACGAGCATTCAAACGATGTCCTGTTTTTCTTCGATATGCCCGAAGCCCTAAGTCTTCATTTAACACCCTTTTCATCGTGGTTCTGCTTAACCCCATCTGAAGGGCCAACAGTTTCTGCTTACGTTTGGGATTTCTTTGAATTCGCGCCTTCACAGCTTTTATCACTGCTGGAGTCCTAACAGACCGAGGGCGACCTTGACCTGTCATCTACACTAGAGTCTTCATTGTATCGTTTGAT